TACAAAGGAAGAGAAAGAGTTAATTCCACGAAAACAAATCTGAAAATGACAATAAAACCGATATGCTTTACAGCTTCCTGATAGCGACAATAAAGGAGGAAATAACTCACAGATACACAAAAATATTCCTTCCTAACACCTTTCTCTCTCATATTCTTCCCTTGCTTCATCTTTTCCCCTATGTCCACCCCTTCGGCAAAGTCCACTCCTTCCCCTACGTCTAACCCCTCCCCTACATCCATCCTTTTGCCCAGTGTCCAACCCTTCTCCTACATCCACCCTTACCAATACGTCCACTCCTTCCCCCACATCAAACCCCTCCCCTACGTCCAGCCCTTCCCCCAAGTGCACCCCTTCCCCCAAGTGCACCCCTTCCAATATATCCATCCATTCCTCTACGTCAAACCCTCCCCTATGTCCAACCCTTCCCTATGTCCACCCTTACCTTACGTCCACACCTTCTCCTATGTCCACCCCTTCCCCTAAGTGCATCCCTTCCAATACATCCACTCCTTCCCCTACATCCAAAACTTCCCCTACGTCCAAAACTTCCCCTACATCCAAAACTTCCCTACATCCAAAACTTCCCTACATCCACCCCTTAACCTTTCGTCCACTCCTTACTATATATATCCTTCCCTAACACTACATCCACTCCTTACCCTACCTACTTCCCCTATATTCAACCCTTCCCCTACATCCACCCTGATTATCCAAATGCATCAACACCTAATCCTCCCCTCATCTCCTCACTTGACTCACACCTAGCCTTCACTTCACTCTCCTCCCAGTTGCATCAGTCCATTCCCCTATCCTGTCTAACCCCTACACCAAACCTTTCCACCCACTTCCCACTAGTACCTAAATCTCCCCTGAACCACCACCAACCCTTCACCCACTCCCCTAATGTAGCTAATACCTGCCACACCCCTTCCCTCACACTCACCCTCACCCTCACCTCTAACCCTTCTTACACCTTGCCTTCCAGCTGCACCTAAACCCTTCTCCCCAATTGCACTTAGCCCTCCCCTTATTCCATCCCTACCCAAACCTTCACCTGTTAGAGTAATCCAGTCCAATTTCCCCAAGGGCCACCACCTTTGGGTTGAGAAGGGCTAGCCTCAGGTGGTCCTCCTCCTCCTCACCAAAGAAACGCGCATAGTGAGGGTGGCAGCCAAATGCTGCCCAGACATTTGCCTCTCCAAGAAACTCCTCCCACCATGTTGTCTGGGAATGTAAGAAAGATGAAAAACAAAAATCATTATAAAAATCATATATAACAATAATAATATTTCAATAAAGACAACATTATATCTTTTAAGTGATAATATCTTAACAGTAGTGATGATGACGATGATGAAATAGAAAAAAGAACAGGAAAAGGAGAAGGAGAAAATGGTTATGAAGACAAAGAAACACTGGCAGACAAAAAGAAAAAGAATAAAGAAACCACTCCCCTGTATCCTTCAGGACCAAGAAGAAAAACAGAAGAAAAAAGAACTCTGAAAGTGTAGGGCAGGCAGAAAAAAAGTGGAGAATAATAACCCACCTTTCCAAAGGTCCAAGGCTGGCAGAAGACTGCAACACAGCCCTCGAAGGCAACTGGGTATGCATCTTGGCCCTGGCACTGGGCTCGGAAACGAGCATGGCTGCCTGAGTCGTGGTTGCAGCGCCGGAACAGAAAGTCCAGGTGGCAGTGTGTGTCCACAAAACCCGGCCAAAAGTGTTCATTTTGCAGCACATGAGGGTCATAGGTGAACTGCAAGAGGGGTTTAGAGAAAGGAGGGGGAAGATGGAATGGAGAGAGGGGACAGGAAGCATAGAAAGGAAGAAGGGATGAGGATGGATGGGAGGAGAGAAGGGCAGGAGGAGAATGACATAAGGAGAGGGGAGGAGGAGGATGGCATGGGGTGAGAAGTTGGGGAAGGATGGATAGGGAGAAGGAAGGGGGGAGAATGGCACAAGGAGAGGGGAGGAGGAGGATGGCATGGGGTGAGAAGTTGGGGAAGGATGGATGGGGAGAATGGCACAGGAAGAGGGGAAGGGAAGGTTGACATTGGGTAGAGATGAGAAAAGATAGAAGGAGAAAAGGGGAAGGGGAGAGAAAAGATAGACGGGGAGATGGATAAGGGGGAAGGCAGAGAGAAGATTGTAAGGGAAATGGAAAGTGGGGAGGATGGTGAAAGGGAGAAGAGAGGCAGAGAATAGCACAGGCAGGAAAGAAATGGAATGGTGGGGGAGAGAGGAAGTGGAAGGATAACGCAGGAAGAGGTAAGCAGGAGAACAGCACAGAAAGAGGGAAGGGGGAGGATGGCACGGTGCAAAGAGAGGGAAGGATGAAGGGTGAAGTGAGGATGGCAGGGGACAGGAGGGCACCAGGAAATTAGATTTCTTGGAATTAACCTAAAACTGTTTTATACTTAAAATGAAAGCTTTACATAATAATACTATTAATGGCCAAGATGTAAGCTTTAATATCAATAACACCCAGAAATGCTTA